TTCTCTGACTTGTGACTATTCAAGTGTGACAGGGGTTTGGTGGGGGTGGGAAGAGGGTAGAGGGATTCTGCCTGACTTCCAGGTGGTTTTCCCCAAGAAATCAAAATGACCAAACAAAGATTGCTATCTCCAGAGTAGCGACTGTCTGTTTGGCTACAGAAACTTGGCATGAAAAAGCTTGGAACATGCTGCTGCAGAGTGTTGTTTTTTGGTTTTTTGGGGGTTTTTTTTTTTTTTTTTTTTCCAGATAGGCAGCAGCCAGCAGTTGCTTGCTAAAAGAAAGTGCATCAGGCCTGTGCACAACAGCTCCACTTGAGACGTGTGTATAAGGGTGATTCAGCCTTTGAAGTGTGTCATTCTTTGAAAGAAATCTGAGTGGGAAACTGAGGATAGAAAGGGGAATCGTTCCTTCCCCAAGGTCAGTCAAGGTTCTGTGATGCAAGAGAGAATATATGGCAGTAATTCTTTGTTACTCTGTTTCTGAGCTGCTAGTGGGAACTATTCCAAAACCAATCTAGTCCAATGGTCTAAATGCCTTATTTTGTAGTTTACTTTCTGTGTTGCTGCCTTTGAATTAGAGTTAATGAATTTCCTACTTCTGTCACAAGAGACTTATTTAGGAGACCACCAAAGAGTTCTAAAGTTTTCGGCAGCAAGATGCTGCTACTCCCTGCTCTGTATGGCCCTGTTCACTTGAGGGAATGGTAGAGGTTAAAGGAGGTTGTTGGAAGGTTCTTACCTATTTTCCTACCTTAAGATAATGTTAAAGAAATTTGAATGTAATTCCAAATGCTGATAGGAATCCTGGCTTGGACCTCTTTGGAGAAGAGGGGTGGACTTTGCTCTAGACAGGACAGTCAAAAGAAATGAAGAGATCAAATAGAAGAGCTCACCAAATACAGCTATCTCTGGGAGGAAGGAAAGCCTCCTCCTGTGTCAGGCACATCTGTCCTTTCCAGCACTGTCTTCAAAAGTCATAGAAGGAAAGGTGGACATCTTGGTTTTCCTATAGATGCTTTAGTGAAGACCATATAATCTCTATGTAGCTGTTTTCACACTCTCAGAATTAATTGTTTATTTTTTTGAAGTGCTGTAAAGAAAGAAATACTCAGTTTGCTGAAGATGTAAATATCATGACAATGATGAAAACTCCTCAAGCAGTTGGTCTTGCAGAGGAGTCGGAGATGATGGATAGCATCTCAATGCAGAGAAAGAAACTGGTTTTAGAGAAGGTGGGAAGTAGAGGTAGAAGCTTTTAATTATGTTCAATGCACAGGCGTAATCTAGGCCTATACACTTCTCTCAATTCTCAGTTAATTTGATGTCAATATAAAGCTTGTACAGCAACAGGAATTGATTTTTCTTTTTCTTGTTCCACCAGAGCTCTTGTCATGATAATTATTTGTTCTCTATCTTTTCTCACATGCAGACATCACTTTGGGAAAATATATTTTCCTTGAGGATCAGCACAGTTTCTATTCTTTCTAAACCTTTTCCATCCATTCACTGTTTTATTCAACCCCGTTTTAGCACCTTGTGTCTTTTCTTCAAACAGTAACTCTCATTTCACTTTTTATCTCTTTCCTCACCTTCAGTTTCATCAGCTAAAATAATTTGCAGTAGAACATTTTGTGCTGCCACTTAAATGTCATCACCCAGCTTTACGTGGTTTATACTACAATGAAATGAATGGTATTGGTCATGGGGAGGCATGCTGCTTGGAAGCGTTTTCAGGCTCAAGGCTTTTTAGCCAATTCTAAAAGTGAAATCTCTATCAGTGAATCTTGAAAATACGAATTATATAAATCTCATGTTTGGGACAACGCAAAGCATATGCATAGGTAAACTTTCTTAAATGTGGTTTTACATTTTGTGGTGTCTAGGTCTGTCACGCAGGCCAGAAACATGTGACATAGTCTGGATCTAGCTCATGGGTTCCTCCTGGGTAAAGTGATTCTAGTCTGTTTAAATTTCTCTGGATTTTGAGACCATCACCAGAATTGAACTGTCTGCTACATCCTGCTTGAATGTCCCACCCATCAGGCTCTTGGCTTTTCTAGGGTCAGGACACTGCACACTGAGGCGTTCCTTTTTTTCCCTCCAACCACTTCTAATAGTATCTTTTTATATCAATAAAACTTTTTAATTTTTTTTCTTTTTTCTTGTTTGTCTTTATTAAATAATCTTGTTTTCATATCATCTCAACTTAAGGGCTCAAATGTAGTATCTGTACACTAAATACAAGCGTACTACTTTTAACTGTTCCTGCTGTACCGAAATACCTTCAGTGTAGAGTCAGAACAGCATGAGGTCCCCCTAGGAATTTCAGCAGCTGTTTGACCATGCAACTGATGTTAGAGGGAAGGACAAGAAAATGCTCTCCCATAGAGGGTGCAGGTGACTTGCTAGAAGATAACTCACTTTAGATGATATATGACGTCGGCCCCAACTCACGTTTGTTTTTTACTTTTCATTTATCATATAAAGTACTTAGTGCATCTTGATATGAAGCATAACTGGCTAATGAGACCATACCTGCTATTTGGGAGAGTTTGTGAGAAGACGCCGGGATGATGACCACATTCTGAAGTGGTGACTTCTGCAAAGTGCTAAATTAATTCACATTGATCTTACAGTACTGGAGGATCTAGCTTTTGTCTGTTGGTACACAGGAGGCCTCTTTCAGCTCCCAGTGGCTTTGACAGAAGTGCGAGCAGGCCCCAGCTATACTGCAGACCTATTTCCATAGGTTCTACATGTACATGTTCAATTAATGCATGTTACAAAGCCATTTTTGGTACTTCTGTCACACTATTAGACATCACATTTTCATTTCACTTTTCTCCTGTTACTGTGTGCTCCCCTGAGACCCGTGTTATTTTGACTTGTGAACATCTTGGGAGGCCGTACCTCTCATGGCAGTGCAGCTTCTGTCTGGAGTATTGACCTTCCCAGAACAAATTCATTAGTGCTCAGCATGGCCTCCACGGTTAGTTTTACACCCCACCCCACCCCCCTTTCAGAGCTATTTATAGATTATTAGGCTATTTTCTTCTTGCTGGGAGCAATTTGGTTTTAATTTAAAATAAATGTTCTCTGTGAGAATTACACTGCTGCTCAACTTACTTTTTTTCTTTTCAGAGTGCCCTTCTATACAGAAGTACGCTACGGGTGTAACTTGTTATAGGCTTCATCCCTTTGGACTGTTGCTTGCTCTAAGGCCCTCAGCTTTTCTTTGTCATGGTGTGCCTGTTCAACACCTGTGTGTCATCTGCCATTAGGCAGTGATCCCATTGTTGTGGGACTGTCGCACCAAAAGACCTTTGTTCAGTGCTTATAACCCCATGAGCCCTTGGGAAGGGAAGTCTTGCTTTCTTTCACAGTCACCCAGCTAAATTTTTATCTTTGTTAGCAAAAAAATGTCGCGGAAAGAACTGAGACAGCTGATACGGAGATTTCTGATTGTAGCTCTGAGTGTTTGGTGTTCTGTTGTAGCACTTCTGCATCTTCAGAGAGCATTGCTTTCTGGCTGAAGTATAAAGCTCAGAAGTATTAATTCATGCAGCTGGCTGGTACAGGGACAGCGCTTTTGAAGAATCGCAATACAAGTAATTTTCCCTTCCCAGACCTTACAAATCATATCTTCATGTAACCATGTGGATCTCATTTATATCCCTATTGAAGAGTCTTAGTTTAACTGTAGGAAGAGCTTCCACATACAGCGTGGTCATCTTTCATCATCCTTGTTGCCTTTCACTGAGCTTTTTCCAGCTCTACTCTAGGGGAGGGTATTAAAGGTAGGATAGATTTATACAATAGCATAGTGATGGTCTCTGCTTTGGCCTCTATTCCTTTCCAAATAATCCTGAGCGCTCTGTATACTTCTGTGGGTAAAGTTTCTTCTCTGCCACTGAGCAATGAGCTGGTATCTCCATGTAACTGTCCGCTCTAACATCGAGATCTTTCTCCTGGGTGGTAGCGATCTGTTTGGGGTCCATCGCTGCATATGCGAGGTTGGAATTGGCTTCCCCATATATGTTCCATTTCACTTGCCGTTCCGTTATCCAGTCATTCAGTCTCTAGTTCCTTACAGTTTCCCTCACTGGTACTACCTTGAATAACTTTCAGTCACCAGCAAAGTCTCACCTCACTGTTCATGCTGTTCCAGACCATCGATGAATACTGAATGGCATGTGTCCCAGCATGGAGGCCTGCAGCACTGCACTGTGTCCTCCTCCCTCCTGTTGCAAGAATGGAAAGTTTACTCCTCCCACTTCCTATTTTTAGCCAGATGTTTATCCATGTAAGGACTTTCTTAGGCCATAACTGCTAATGGTTCATGTCACGACTGCTTACCTCACGTATAATTTCAAGTATGTATTGTAACACCACCTTTGAGAATGGACTTTCATATTCTTTCCTGTTTAACTGATACACTGTGGACTCATCAGTGAAAACACATCATAAATAATAACATGATAAGAAAATCTTCAACTCTTCTATCTGGAGGGTAATATATTATGGATGTTGGTACCCAAATCAATCATTGCTTGTAGTAGATGAAATGTAATTTGGTGTAGTTCAACATAGAGGTTCTGCTGGCATGCTGAATGAGTGACTTGCTGATGTCAGCTCGCCAGTCCAGATGGAGCTTCCTGTGCATACTTTAATACGTGCATTTTATATATGTTTGAATAGACTGTATTTTCTTGCATATACTTTAATACATGTATTTTATAGATGTTTGAATATAGCTTATTTCTACATGTGACTTTTTCTTATATTTCAGAAATGGTTTGTACCTATGAAAGATGGGCAGAAACATTGCTATGCATCAGCAGTGCTATCCAAGTGCCAGCTTCATTTCAGTGGAACACCTGCATTTCCTACAAGTTCTTATTACCTGGAAGAGTAATTTAATAGGTTTTTATGAAAAAAGGCAAATGTTTAGAAAAATTTCTGCTTACCAAATGGGCTTTTCTCTTCCTGGTGTTACTCAGGTGTAATGTCTTTGCTGAGACCTCTTTTGCTGGATGTCATCCCAACTATTCAACAGACTGCTGCTTTGGCTCTTGGGAGACTTGCCAATTATAACGATGACCTGGCAGAGGCAGTTGTGAAGGGAGACATTCTTCCACAGCTTGTGTGTTCGTTGTCTGAGCAGAATGTAAGGCATCCTTGTTTTCTTAAGTAATTTTTTTAAACTATTGCACAGGAAATCTTTCTGTATCGGCTATCTGCTGTTATTCTAATATAGCAATAAATGCACTGAAGTCAGAGACAGCATGTGTGTTTGAACTCCTGAGAGATCAGTGTGTACTGTGTGCCTAAGTTTGATTTTAAATAAGCTTGACTTTAAGATATCATCTTACCTTTTAGTGCACTACGGGAAATATATTCATGGCACTGTTATGTTTTTGAAATGTTGAGTGATGCTTTATAAATGAGACAATCTTTAAAAATGAGACAATTTGAAAGCTGTAGTGATAATTGTCTAGGATTTTTTGATAATACTAAACACTTGTAAAATATGTATAAAAACTGCACTTCTGTAATGAAATATTTAATATCTCCAAACATAGCCTTTTGGAAATCTGTAGCATGAGAAATATCAAACCACTGACACAGGAAAATACACGGAAAGATTTTAATCTTCAGATTTGTCAAAAAAAAATTAACCAAACCCAACAACAAAAGAGTGTTGTCATGATTGCAATACAAATAAATCTGGAGGTCTCTTTTTCTCCCTTCTTGCCATTTTTCTTCAGGTTTTGCATATATTCCAGCTTTGATTTTCCAGTGATCCTAACCTAGATTAACAGAAATACTTTCAAATAAGGTTCCTAATAACTGGAAAGAGACAGCTGAGAGTTCAGTGCATTGATATCACAGCCATACTTAGGTTGCATTTTTGATTTATGAGGTTTAGGAGAAGTAGGATTTCGATGGAAATATAATTTGGGAAACTATATATTTTCATTTTCAGTCTTTTAAAGAAAACATAAATGTAAGTACTCATTGCATATTTTTTCTGCGTATCTGGTCATTGCCTATACAATTAATATAAAAAAATTAATATAAAAAAAAAGCGAAAGAACAACCTTGATGTCAAGATACTGGTATAGTATGGAAGGAAAGTTAAGGTTTTAGTTAGACAAATTTATAACTATTTTGGTTATTTTGTTTCTATTTTTAAGGGAAGAAGGGGAACAAAACTCTTTATCCTCTGTTTTTGAGTTGGAAACCCCCCCTTGCTACAACTCAAAGCCCTCACTAAATTAGCTTGAGTACCCTGATTTATCTCTTCCATGTTACTGCCGGTGCTGTCCTTACATCAAGATGGCTGTAATTCAGAATCACTTGGGGCAGCAGCAAGATTAGTGAGAGGTCATGGAAAGCCTACTATGCCTTGGTGACTGAGGGCAAGTGAAGGAAACTCATTATCCAGTTCATGCAGAGTTTAGCAATGCATGCAGTTTGTTACTTCCCATAGGCAGAAAAAAACAACCCCGATAGGTTTCCATTCCACTCGCTCTTCGTGTATCAACATCTATATTTAAGGAGGAGATTCTGTGAGCACACAATAAATACTGATTCTGCTGATTTATGGAGAACAGTTACAGGGTCACATCCCAGATCAATGTTTTGTCAATTAAACTGAGCAAAATACAATTTTACAGTGTTCTGACTGTGCCTGTGAATACTATTTGTTTGTAAATAAATGTGTTTTGAATAACAAAAACAAAAAAATATTTTTCTTTGCCAGGAGCATAATTACTTCACAGAAATAACATACCCATATTTGCACAGACATAGACTGGTGTAAACAGCTATAGCTCCATTGGGTTCAGCAAAGCTCAGAGTAACTTGCATTAGCTAGGGATTTGACCATTTGTCTGTACTGTTTCCCTGAACTTCTGTTCCCCCTAAATGATGTTTAATGCTTTGCTTGTAAATTATGTTTAATGTACCTGCTTATAGGCCTTAACTTAAAAGACTGGATTTTTGGCATTAAGGAATTATATCGATACTGGTAAACTAAGCAGGGTCAGGGCATGTATTTGAGCACTGGCAGATGACTGAGCTCTTTAATCGTTAATGTGCTCTCTCATGTGGTTTTAGCCAATGCCAACCATCAAACTACTCAGCAATGCTTGGACATGGTTTAGGGGATAGCACAAGGCGGGGACAGTTTCCAGGAGTATAGATGAGGCCATCGTGCTTTGAGGGAAGAGGAGTTTAGGTGGATGGACATGGTATGCAGTGTCGCTTCCCTTCAGGGCCAGGGAGTGGGCCTGGGTCTCTTGTGCTACCTGTGGAGCCATTGCAGATACTCCTGGGTTGCCATACCTCAGTGCTTTAGATCAGACTTTTAAAGGTGTTTGGGCACCTCACAGGATTCACAAAAGCACTCACGTGCTTCTTTGTTTCTCTGGACTTGATCCGAAATGGATGTGGGCTTTGCATTGTTTAAGTTTTGGGTACCTTGACAGCA